TTCTTAAGCTCCTCAAGATTTTTTTTGTTTTTTTTGTTTTTTTGTTTTTTGGTTTTTTAAAAAAACAAAAAACCAAAAAAAATAAAATAAGCTCCTCAAGATACTCGTCTGCTCCATAGAAGATCGATGCCTTGCTGTGGGCGGCCTTGCCCTGCTTGCCGAGCAGAGGCGCGCTGGTCGCCATGGGCACAATGGCAGCTGAAAACTGAAAGGTCGGTTTGACTTCGTGACTTCTCAAGTCCGGGTCTGCGGCGAGCCGGGCATTCTGCTCTCCTCTCACTGCTCCTCCAATGCTTGCCCCCATGCGCATGAACCCTTCTGAGCGAGCAGCTCTCCACGAAGGCCATGAGCGAGTGTTTCTCATCCGTCCTCGATTTTGAGTTTGGCGAGTACTATTGTAGGCCTATCTTGTAGCTATTAAGAGCTTGCAGGAATCGTGTCATTACTGCTATCACGTTTGTCAGTCGCTGATGTCGTCATGGTGGCCGTAACGAGGGGCGGGGCGTCGCGTCATCAGGCTGATTGATTCGAACGCTGTTACCACCGACCACTAACACCGCCATCAGCACCTGCCAAGAGCTCTTGTTTATGACGCTCTGCATTCCATGGACAGGAACTCTCTGCATTTTTGAAGCATCTATTGGCAGAAGGCACTTTGGCCGACGAACACAGGAATCGCAGATCGTATTGTTCACTTTCATAGGGCAGAATTAACTCCTTCGTTGGTGTCGGCTGCTTCCCTTCATCTTAATGACTGGTTGCTTGGTGTTTAACCCCTCCCCTGTTGGCAGCTTCTGCACTGGCTGGATCTGGCTTTGAAGCGCACTCGCACACGCACAGAGCCGGTGCCTTTCCACTTTGCGTTTCTACCAAACCCGGCTTTGCTAGTCATGTCGTGGGCCATCCATGCAAGAAAAAAACTGTAGACTGCCGCAATTGCAGCTGGAGCACGTGAAAGCAGCTGCGTCAACGACGGCACCGAGGGCCTCGTGCTTGGAATGGGTTTTGCAAGAAACGAAAGTCGCAGCGCAAAGCTTTGTGGTGATCTACATCGACGTCATACAAGCAACCAGGACGTGGCAAGCTGCAAACCAGCACCAGAGTTCCTACTAAGATCGCCATTACCGTTACTGTCGTAGTACTGCAGTACTACCACGACTGCCTGCTACGGCCACCGCTGATGATGGACAGGAGGCAGAACAATAGGAGCATCATCTTGTTGGACATCAACATCATACGAGCAGTTATCAGCACCACCGCCATCATCTCTCTCTCGATACGCAGTGTCTAGATGACACGCCTTCCGAGGCTGATGGTACGAGCACTTGTCTGTGCCCGGCGCCTCTTGGGCGCTGCGCCATAGCGCATCCACAAAGGAAGGACTTGCGAAAGTCGGAGGCCCGCGTCGCAACGCTGCAGCATCCCATCACGACACGAATGTCCGCAAACTAACTATACTTCGGTGAAAAAGGCCACCGCCAGCATCATCATCAGCATCCTCCTCCTCCTGATATTTCGGGAAGTCTTGGAGTCTTTAGCGCACCCACCCGCAGCCTCCAGAAGGCTGCCAGTCTTCTCCTCCACCTCACAGGGCGGAGTTTGCCATTCCCAAAAGTGGCTTAGTGCCCTGGCAGGCCTGGCCTAGCAAGGGCGCGAGGACGCTTGATATGCAGCTTGCACTGTCCACCCCTCTCGTGAGATTGGCTTCACCGCCCTTCTCGCATGGAGCGTAATTACAGTGGAAGCAAGGCTCCCTGTGCGTTAGTATATCCTTAGTGTGCCTTCCAAGAAGCCGCCGTTGAGACTCTGGGAATGAGCCCGACAGGTTGCAACCATATCCGAATTGGCGCAGAACGACCACAAACGACTCCAAGACCCTTGGGGAGCCTGCTGCTGCAACAGGGAGGAGCCGGCCAACTTCTCCGAGAGCGTCTTGATGGCGCGTCCCTGGCAAAGCTCCGAGGAAGGCCCCGGGATGCCCCGGAATCTGAGACTCTGAATCCGTCGAATGCTCACATACCATCGCATGCGATTGCACTGCGGACAGGACTACGTGATCTCATGTGATTTCAGCTGACACTGTCACTGTCTATGCCATGCATCATATGTGCAGCATGAGTACTGCGTCTTCTCTCGCTCTCTCTTTCAGCCCTGACTGGGATTCTGCGGGCCGGGCCAGCATGTCCGTGGCTTCGGTCAGCTCGCCTTTGGCGGTCACGTGCTCTGCCTGCAGAGACACGAATCCGACAGAAAGCACAAGTCTAATCGAGGCCGTACGGTCCCGGCTTGCATGCTGACATGCGATTGCTATAAACTCCAATGAGATTGCTATAAACTCCAATCCCGGGACGATACTACCGTCGCTGTCGTTTGCCACCGGACAGGCAAGCCTTCTCCTTGGCGCGGAGCTCCTGTGCAGCCTGCAAAGGATTTGCAATGCCTTTGCTTGTCATCAAAGCAAGTAGCTGCCCTGCCGCCGTCCGATGAAAGCCCTACCAACACTACAACACACATCCCCGCCCTGCCATAGATGCTTGCAAAAGTCCTGACGCAGACACGTACATGCGAACAACAAGCAGTCGTCAACACAGGCCACAGCAGTATCTTGTTTGCTTTGCTAACATACATACACAGTACACGATATACAACTTACCTCTTACACTAATCAGGGAATGTGCGAGAGCAAAACCTGCCCTTCATTGCCCTACCCAGCCTTGTCCTGTGCACCCTGCCTTTCCCCTGCCTCGCGCTCCAGCCCTCATGCCTCTACGGGACCCTGCGTTGTAAGGCTTCGACAACACAGCTAAAGGTTTAGCTCCAAAGCCTGAAAGGAATAGATTTGGAGGGCTTTACCGGTTTGAACCGTGCCTTGAACGGCGTGCTACTAGGACATGTCGGACATGTGGGGTGAGATGACCACGGTCGGACCATTGATTGAGGCCTTTCCTAGACTCCTAGACACCGAGCCCTGGAGAGCTCTATGTTGCGCAACCCTCACTGCTGTGGGACACATGACAAACAACCCTCAACCCCTGAACCCCTAAAAACTCAAACCCAAGAATCTCTGAGATGGCTAGGGTTTTGGGGTCTAGGGCGACTTGCCTTGAGGTCTGCCTCGTTTTTCGTGACCGTGGCCGCCAACTCCTCCGTGACTAAGCGGGCTCTCAGAACTTTCCAGGCGTTTTTCGGGCAGGAAGGATTTGGGGCTTCAGGGATTGAGGCTTTCGGTAATTGTGGCTTAAGCTTGTGTATGTAAGGGCTTAGTCTTGAGGGGTTTAGGGCTCAGGCTTTCGGAGGTGCAGCAGGAACATTGCGCGTCTGAGACTTCTCGACCAATTGGGGCTTGGGCTTGGGTTTGAAGCCTTTGTCTACTGAGTCCAGAATCTGAACAACTGCTGTTTCTGTTGCTACGACTTTCCGTGGTAGCAGCCTCACAATGACACTGGACATGTCGTCTTTCCGCCCCGGTCTTGCTCAGGGTCAGAGCTTGCTCTGCAGTCGCTGCATGTACCCAGACCGTGACTCCGTGACTGCTTCTCGACGTCGCAGACAGAAGACCAAGAAGCAGTGAGATCATCCAGCATGTGGGGTTTCTGCGCGCTGAGGCTGGGGACTGGTAGAGGTTGAGGAAAGCGTGTTCAAAGGTTCGGTTTGCCAGACCCAAGCTTTCCTTTCAAAGGAAATCGGACCAGGCCCAATGCAGACCTCCAGCTTTGTTGCGGACACGTCGATGTCGGAGGACGCCTTCGCAATGGCTGCAGTGAGCTCCTGGTTCAGTTGAAGTGGTGTCAGCCGTGTAGTTGGGAGTCGCAGTAGTAGCTACAGTAGCTGCGCTAGCAGATTCAACAGCTACACATAGCAAAAATAGTCGTCGTGTTAGTCTTGGAGTAGGGGGACGTCTCTCCGAACGAGGTGCCGAAAAGAGCCGTCCTCGACAGTCTTCTCGCCGTCCTGGATGTCGTAGCCCAGGTCACGCTTTCCTCGTGTGCAGAACTTGGTGTAGTTGTCGTAGGCCTGCATTTGTCAACTTTCGAAGTGGGTAGCCTGATGTCATGCCATGCAGCCCCGACCAGAGACTGCAAGAATGCAGTCTCTTGCTCTGCCCGGCCTGTACTGCAGCGACGCCGTCCTTCTCCACTTTGTCCTGCAAGTCCGAAAGCCTCGGAGGTTTGCGGCCCTTCACGGCTTCCACAGAAGCGTCACTGAGCTCCCTGGCATGGTGAAGACTTTCTGCATTGGGCTGACCTTGTCTCAGGTGAAACTGGGCTACACCGACGAGAATGAAAGCTGAGCTTCGCACGGCATCAGCGCCCAGGGCCAACAGGACAAGGGCAAAGCTCTTCCTGGGCATTAGCTTTGAGGATTTGATCTGGTCTGGCGACTAGAGTGGAGAACTTCATTAACTTTACAATCACAGCCCGAATGCTCTTCCGAATGCTCTCAACATGCGACGAAAGAGCGAGAGCAAGAAACCAAACACAAGCCGCAAAGGGAGCAAGTTCTCATCAAAGCTCCCTGAGCCCCTGGCATTCTGGCAGTTCGCCACGGGTATCCCACGCTGTTCACGCTGAAAACTTTCGCGAGAGACGTGGGACGCCAGCTTGAGCCGAACAGTAGATGTCATGAGAGTGGCTGGTGTTGCCGCAAATGCCGCAAGGTTTCTCCAACAACCCCATCACATCAAGGCGCGATGCAGCAGCATTGAGATTTGTCGCTGCTCTTGGTCTTGCAACGGCTCAGTAGGGCGCAACGCGACGACGGCCGCCTGCACCGGGCTGATAGTTCTGAGAGGCCAAGACATGAAATGCGAGTCTGACTGTTTTGGAGCGTTTTCTGGGGTTTCGGGTTTCGCGTACTGAGGTACGTACGGGTGAGTGAAGGTTTCCCAAGGGCCTGTGGGTGTAAATAAAAACTCTGAGTCTTCGAGCCACTGCCTGTCTGGAACCCTGATCAGAAAACCTTAGAGCCAACGACAGAACCCAAAACCCTCACAAGAATCCAAAACCCTCATTATAACCCTAAACCCCAAAAAGAATCCTCAACCCGTGGTAAGAACCCTAAACGGCCCTAAACGGCCCTAAACCCTAAACCCCTAAAACTCCTAAAACCCCCAAAAAAAAACCTAAAACCCCAAAAACCCCAAAAACAACAAAAAAAAAACAAGAACCCTCCTTGCAAGTCTTAGGCCTCTTGAGACCGCTTTCCAGGACTGGCCCTCAGGGCCTTCTGCTCCCGGCCATGCGTCCTCCAGGCTTGGGCTTTCGGGTTTAGGGGCTTTTGGGGTTTTTTTTTTAAGGACCTTTTTCCGTCTTGCATCCAACAAGTGCGGAGAGCCTGGTTCAGGCAGGCCAGTTAGCCCCCTCCGAAAACCTTCGTAAGACAACACACTCCTGGCATGTTCAATCTTCGATCGGCGACCTCGCAACATCATCACTGTGACGAACTTCCGGTGCTTCCTTCCCTTGCGGACCCTTTGGGACAACTGCCGCCATCTCCGAAGATAATGGCAAAGACTCCGACCCCGACTGACATGTAGCCAACATCGTATCGAGCAGGGTGTCCGTGGGCCCTCGATCGCCCCTGTCTCCTGAAGGCTCCTCCAACTGGGATCCTCCGCAGCTACCAAGAACGATGTGTTGTGACTCCAGCAATTCCATGGTAGCAGGGCCATAGCGAGCACGGACCTCCTCAGTTGACAAGACCCCTGACTGCCACTGTTCGTAGAGCTGCTGGAACACCTCAAACTCCACCGGCACCTGCAAGCCTCCGTCTTGTGCTTCGGCTCCCCCTCAAGGCTCAGACTATTTCCTCCTGTTCCACAACCTGAGCCCCTGCGGTGGGGGCCCGTCCATATGCACTGCGGCAGGCTTGTCGAGCAGAGCTGGGACCGTGGAGACCTCACTCGGCACTGGTTCATCCCCTGTCTCCGACACCTCCACAGGCATCGTGCCAACACGAAGCCTCACTTCCTGGTCATGCCCTGGAACCATGGGCACCCTCACCGTCTGCTGTGCCCCAGGCTGACCAGATGTGGGCCCAACAGTCACTTCCAAGCACAGCCGTTTCCTGCTGCGAACCCCAGCATACATCTCATCATGTAGGGCCCAGTCGTCCCAGGCTTTGGCTTCCCGAGCAGCCTGAGCAGACAGCTCGGCCTCCACCGCCGCCTCCACCCCTCGGTAGTAGAGCTCCTCCTCCTGCTCGAACAGAGCCTGCTGATGCTGCAGAGCAGCTGTATCACGACGTTCGTCCTCCTGGTCCGCAGCAAGCAGAGCCACATCAACCTCGTTTTGCTGCTGTTCCTGCGATACGACCTGTAGGCTGCCATTTCCCGAGCTGCTAACAGCACAGGTCTCCTGAGCATTCGGCGGATCGTCAGGCTGGTTTAGGAGCATCGGCTCGAGCAGCCGCCACCATGACCAAGACCACTCCGCAACTTGCGCCTCCAGGGCTTGATAGCCCCTTGCCGGTTCCAGCTCGCCAACTGCCTCGGTAACAACGCACAATGCCTCCACCTGGTCGCTCACCTGTGCCTCCACGAAGTTGTTCAGGCGAAGGCGATGTACCCGTCCTCGGAGGTGTGCCGCTCGCAGCCTCGACACTCCCGCATCCGGTCCAGACAAGGCATCTTGAAGCCGGCCAAGAACACCAGCAATCTCACTTGCATCCCGTTGAACCAAGGAGACCCCCTCGTCGTCGAAGAGCTGTGCATCCATCTGCAACATCAGGGTCGGGATCCCATCATCATCCTCGTCATCTTCATCTCCTCCTGCATCTCCAACCGGGCCCTCTGGCACTACTTCAACATAGCTCGCTGCATGAAGCACCACCCCGAGCTCCGACATCATGGCGCGAAAAGCTGTCAGCAGGCCAAGCGTCATCAGCGCCTGCTGCTCTGCACTGAAGCCCGAGAGCACCGTGCGGATGTAGTTCGCTCGCGTGTCAGGGATAAACGGTCCATCCTGGCTTGTGGTCTCCTGGCCATTTGGGGGTGCTGTGGTGTCCACCCCCAATAGATGTCTCCAGATGTCGACACAGTCGTCGTTGTCGAGGGGCGGGGCAGGCCTGAAGCTTAGGGATCCACTCGAAGAGGAAGCAGCACTGCAGGTACCTCCAGACCCAGTAGGGGGCCCAGCTGCAGCCGACCGATGGCTCGCCCTCAATTCAGGTCCCGGAGTCCGCCAAGGAGCAGTCCGAAGATGTTCAGCCGTCCGACTTGGGGCCCGAGCTTCACCAGAGTCGGCAGGCCCCGCCGAGCCTGAAGCAGGTTCCGCCCGTCTTCGTCCTGTGGTAGAGGCCCGGGTCGATCTGGAGCGGTTACTTCGCCTTTGCCGTTCTCCTCCACGACGGCCTCGTTCCATGAAGTCAACCTGCTCATCCTCGGTCTCAGAGTTGGAGGTCCTTCGCCTCCCACTGTGGTGTCCGGAGTGGTTTTGCTGAAAGGCCTGGTAGAGGATGGACTCGACTTCTGTCGCCCGCAGGTAAAAGTCAGCTGGCGACAGGTCATAGGCAGCACCCGAACTCACTGGGATACCAGCTGCCAAGGCTGCCATTGCCGACTGGCTCCATTGGTGGTACTCTTCAGAGTCACGATCCTGCAGGAACCTCCTCACCATTCGAACTGCCAGTCCAACTTACCTGCCCTCTTCAAACCAGCCCCAGAACACATCCATCAACTCTTCCCAGGTTCTGGAAAGGGGCCTTGCAGTCTGAAAGAGGCTCGACACATCCGGCTCCGCATTGTTGTCCTCTCGCAGTCGAGAGGCCCCTAAGGTCGCCAGGGCGACACTCGGGGGCACCAGGTCAAACCTCCCCATCTGCAGCAAGTCTTCCACTGACGACCACGTCCCGTCTCTCCACACGTGGGCGGCTTGCATGATGCAGCCCTGTCCTGTCGGGGCTGGTTCCGAACTCCCCGACCCCGGCTCCACCCGGGGAGCATATCGGCAAAGAAGATCATGTGCACGTTGTACCCACTCCTCAGCATCCACTGGGTAACGATGAGCCTCAAGTGGCAACAGCTCCTCCGCTGACAGGCGGTCACCCAGGAGGTCCCTCAGAAATCGCTGTACGCTTGCCGGCGACTGGCAGCGGACTCGCTGCGCCAGGGTCCTCCGCGTAGATCGTCCCAGCCCTTGGTCAACCAACTGTTTGAAGTCCGCCTGCAGCTCCTCCAGATCTCGCTGAGGAACCGGGGCTCTTCCCGAACCTTGAGTCGAACCAGATGCTACGGCCTCCAGAGGCCTTTTGGTCTGAACAAAGCTGTTCAGGTCACTCTCGGAACCCGTGTCTCCCTCGACTGGTGCCTTACAGCATCCCTCCTGGCACTGGTAGAAGGCGCCGATGACAATGCTCATGTAACTCTCGAATTCCTTGGTCCTCTCGACTGGGGCCAGACAGCATCCCTCATGGCATTGGTAGAAGGCGCCGACGACAGTCGCTTCATAGAGGGGGTCCCGGAGGTTCACGATCCGCCGAGCTTGTTCAGGCAGTGCCGAATCGAGCCGAAGTGTTCGACCCCCAGGCCCACTGACCGAGACATCTTGGGCTTTTGGGGTTTAGCGTTTAGGGTTTAGGGGTTTTTGGGGTTTTTGGGGTTTAGGGGTTTAGGGGTTTGGGGCTTTGGGGTTTGTTTGGGGCCTTGGATTTTGGGGGTTGGGGGTTTGGGGGTATCAGATTTCGCTGAAGTTCTGGATATGAGTAAGGATGTGCATATGAAGACGAGGATGCTCGGTGCGCAACTCACGAAGCGAGCTTAAGGTGAGAGCAGATGGCTGGCACAAAGACCTCCTGGAAGTGCAGAGCTTACACACCCCTTTGGGCGTGTTCAGGTCGCAGAACCAAGATGGCACAGTTTGGTAAACCCTCTTTACGGTGTAGGGGTAAGGGTTTAGGGGGTGTTTTTTAAGGGCTCTTTGCCTTCTTGTTACAGACTCCGGTTGCTTGTGAAGTGTGCTTCTCGGCAGCGCTGGCGAGCCGTTGTGGGACGTCCCTTGCTGGAGACTTGGTTTAGGGTCCGTCCAGGCGTTGCTCTAGACCCCGGTATTCCGATTCTAACGAGAAGGGCTTAGGGCTGGGGTTTCGGTCTCCAGCTTTTCTGGCCTCTTCGAGCTGCTCCTCCGGCATCTCCTCAAGCTCGCCGGTCTCCTCCTCAGTGACTTGGAAGTCCGAGTCGTGGCTTTTTTGTGGGGGGGGGTTCTTCATACGGATGCACTGGAGAGTTTGAGTTCTCTCAAGTGTTCAGTTTCCAAGATGGCAGGTTGCCAGTTCCGCTCGCAAGATCCACCGGACAATTCCGGAGCGACCACGTATCAGGAGGGACTGCACTCGAAAAGACGGCACTGTGACAGCTGGAGGGATGATAGGCGCCCTTTTTAACCATTGGCCTACGACCTCCAAGTACACCCTCAGCGTCCCGGAACAGCAGAATGCAACCACAGCAAAAATAAAAATAAACCGCTTCAGACCTCCGGCCTGCTCAGGGTCATCTTCAAGCTTGCTCCATCTGGGAATCTGTTCAGGATCTTCCTCCTGCAGACTCAAGTCCATGCCTATGCCTACGCCCGGATGCGCTGGAGCAATGAATGCAAGCCTGGCGCTCCTTTACAAAGTTTAGGAAGTTTAGGGCTTCTGAGCCATAGGGTGAAGGTGCAAGACTGCCTCAGGGGCATGAAGCCAGGACAAGGCATTCTGGCTACCAAAGCCAAAGCCCACCTACCGGCGGCCTCAATACTCCGTCACCCCAGCTGAAATCACCACCGCAACCCCGTCGCAAATACAACACCCTCTGTCTTCAAACAAGCCACCAGTGCACCCAGGTTGAAACTGTCGTGAAGCTGCAACCCTGCATACTGAAAACAAAGCTCTCGTCTTCTAGCTGTGACATCTTGTGCAATGTGGCCAATACTGGGACATCCCGGTTCCGGACTGCTTGCTCCACGTAGCTAGCTGTAGCAGAAAATGCCTGAAGGCACATGTTCTGGCAGTATTGCTGCACAGGACGGACATGCAACATTGAAAGCAAAAAGCATCCATCCTGGTTTGAAGGCTGGCCAGCGGGTTAAGAAAGCTCATTCAACAGGGACAGTGCCTTCGCGTGTTTGCAGATTTAACCATGGCACTGTGGTTCTTCGGCCCACCCATGGCCGTGCAAGCCAAAATCTACCTGTCAGAAACTGAAGGCTCGACGATTATTCAAGGACCACAACACTCAGATGTCTCAAGCGAACAACTTTGACAAAGCTGGTGCCACTTGTGACGCTGCTCACAACGACCCCTGCTTAATGATCCCTGTAGGCCCTCCACCATAACGGAATTTTATTTAAATTTCTTGGTGCGATTATTGTTATTATTGATATCGGCAGTCCCATTGTCTTTTCTACATTGTTATTTTGATTACTGATTTCGATTGGTGTTTGTATTTCTGTTACTCTTACTACCATTGTTATTTTAATTCGAATTTCTAGTTTCTTTTAGTATCGCTCTTGTTGTGATCACATTTATTCCTATTAATATTACTGTGATTGTTGTTATTGTGTTATCATTGCTACTGTAATTATTACTGTTACTACTTACCATTATTTCTCTTGCGAGTATCATTACTATTGATGATATTAGTAGCGTCAGACAGGAGTGCGCAATAGTCAGGAGTCTACATTACCCGCAACTTCTGAAACATGTATGTACACCCTCAACATCGCCGAACACTAGAGTGCGAAACCACAAAACTGAAACCGAAACCACTTCAGCCCACTCTTCCGCATTGCACAAGTCGTCCTCCTCCTTGGTCCAGGTCCCGGCCTGTCCAGACCGCTCGGGCTTTTGCCACGTTTTCAGCTGCATAACCACTAAAGCCCTGAACCCCGAGATACCCGAGATCTGCTGCCACCCAAACGGAAGGATACGCCCTCACCCCGCCTGCTCCTCTTCCTCGTCTGGCTCCAGTTCAAACTCTGGCTCGATCTCCTCGTCCTTTCACTACAAGCTCTTAGCCGAGAGAAGCAGATCTATGGCAGTCTCCGAGCCGAGATGCCTGAGCCGCCTCTGGCTCACATTTCGGACACGAGGGCATACCCCCAGCTCCTCCGGCACGAGGGCGATGAGAAGAATAGGAACATAGCACTAGGTAGCTATTGCGTCGGGCTCCACCTTAGGGGTCGTCGAGGCTAGATAATTGAAAAATCCCTTGTGGCCCGCTTGTAACCACAGCAAACACGGGAATGACATCAACCCAGGAACCGCAGACTCATCCGAAACCCTGTGCTTCTAGACTCGGCATTCCAAGCAAGATCCAAAGTGTGTCGCTTCTCCCTGACCTCGGCCACTCCAGGGAAGTCTCCGACTTTGGACAGTGACAGTTGAAAGCTCGCCGCGGCGTTCCTCAGTTTCACTGTCGCATCATACTGATTATGTGATTATGTGCCACAGTGCATTGTCAGATATGCGAGCACGTTGGAACTTGGCCCATACTAGCACAGAGGTATGATGTCTGATATCCGTTTGGCTCAGACTCGACAATGAATCTTGTAATGTCTGCCCGTGGTAGACAAACACATACACACAGACACAGACATGCACGAACATATACAGGCATGTACATACATGTATATGCGTATGCATACGTACACATACCTCACGTTTATACAGACAGACATACATACATACA